TTACTTTCAGATTCCAATTATAATGGAACAATGTTTGGTCAACGTTTGGAGTTAGGACTTAGTCAACGGAATTTTGACAGACTTGCTAAATTTAGGGTTTAAAGCAAAATCAAAAGATTGGTCCAAAAATCAGTGAAAATCTCTTAAGAATCTACAATTCAAAGATTATAAAAAGGATCAAAATTTGCATGCACGAAGAAAGCTTTTACCTTCGCCACTCCCTGAGAGCAAAACCTTCCTCTTTCTCCATAACCGATGGAGGCGGCAAGATCGGACCGTTCGTATCGTCGGAACTGTTGATCAACGGCGGAGATTGATTTCCCGGCGATTCCTTAAGTGAGGACGATAAATCCCCATGTTTGGAGAGAGGAGACGAATCGTTCTCCGGTTGGGTTTCAAAATTGGAGAAAGACGAGTCAAACCGCTGCGACTGGAATCGAGACTCGTAAGCCGTGAACTTTCCACCGTCGCCGCCGTGTTCTTCCGTCGAACGATTTGACTCACCGAGTCGTGAATCGTCGTTGCTCACAGATGACGACATGGGTTTTTCGGTCTCTCTCGAAAAAAAAAAGTCTCCTTGCTCTGCTTTGTGGTCACACACTGGGTTTCGTAACGACGAAGTTCTTCTCGTAAGTGCTACGTGGCGTGTTATTATTGGTTGTAGAGTAAAGACACGAAAGCTATGAAAACGATTCTTCGTGTGTATCGTTGATCTGGCTCTATCTGAGACTGTAGCTTACGTGTCTTTTTTTTAGTGGCGCAAAGAAGCATCTGTATGGCGGTCCTTCACGTACACGATTATTATCGTCAGATCCCTTGAATGTTCTTAGCCCGATGGGCTTTTATGAAAAGAAAGGGCTATAATGTTTTGGGCTTTTATGAAATGAAAGGGCTATAATGTTTGTATTAGAATATTTGTGTTCTTGATCAACACAAAGCCGCTTGATGATCAAATATTAGAATATTTGTCCACTTTATTAAATTTTTAGCTAGCACTTTAAAAGTTTAAATATTGGAGTCAAGTATTTAAACTTGGTTCAAAATCAACCGATGTAAATTGCTCGATTAATTCTAGGAGTAGACAGATCCACTAAAAATAAGTTTTGTCTACGCCGGTTTTATATGAAGAACTCAAATTTCAACCTAATTTCGTACCTCCTAATTCCGGTCCATGATGGATCCAAGAGACATTGATATGGCATGTCGGGATTTGGGGGGCAAGGAAGAGGGGTCAATTCGAGATGTTTTTTTGTTGCAGTTCCTCTGTTTCCTCTTTGCATTTTTTTGTGTTTGCATTTCTTTATGTTTGCGATCTTCCAACTTTCCATATCTAGTTTC